TATTTTAGATTTTTTATATTTAAAATGAGATGTTTATCTTGTATTTGATTGTGTTTATCTGCAATTAGTTACACGAATTCAGTTATGGGATGAAATCAGATAGAGATGAAATTGTTTAGGAATGAACGGTTTTAAGAGTTTTAAGAGTTTAAGAGTTTTTAAGAGTTTTAGCCAAATGCTTTATAATATAGTATAGATAATAATACAATTATAAGTAAAACCACATTTATGGATCAGTGTTTGTCAATTACTATCAAATTTCATCTCTAAATTTAATTACACTTTTAATCACTACAATTAACACTTTATTTTAGATTTAGTCAATCAGACTAATGCCATTAAAAATAACATTTCAGTTGAGAAATATTTTAATCTTTTAATTGTTTTTTTAAATTTTTATTAAAAATTTTAAAAAAAATATTATATATGTATACATGGAGTCATTGGACAAACAAATATTTTATGAGATTCATGAGATGAGATGTAATTTTGATCACAAATCATATTAAATTAATTAGAAAAGTTAAATAAAAAATGGATATTCCGAGTATTTTGTAAATCATCATTCATCAGTCTCCTCTATTCTCTTTCCTCTCCAACTAAATAATTGTGTGAACAAACTGAAGAATCCAACGAACACATTTTGTAATCATATTGTAAATACTTAGGGGTTGTTTATTAAACGTTTATACAGTAAATGTTTATCTGGGCATATTACCTTATTGGATAAACATGACAATAATTAATAATCTTACCCGGTAAGAGGGATGACAAAAACAGAGAGATTTAATTACTTGGTAAGTGAAAACGACGACCCTAATCCGATAAACACTTATTGCATGAAAGTAGTGCATACGATGTCATTTTAATAGATTAAAATCCTAATTGATAAGTTAAATAAAATGTTTAATTTTACTGTTATACATTTATCGAGTAAGAGCTAGGTAAACGACCTCTTATTTTATTAAAACTTTATGAACACCATTATTCTCTACCAGAACCACAAGATTTTCATTTGTGAACACCTTTTTTAACACATTATGCACTCTTGTGAACGCTTTATAAATTATTGAGTTTGTTACACAATCTTTTATTCCTAGAAAAGTCTTGATCCAAAACATAAAAAGACAAAGAAAATTATGAATAACATAATAGGAAAATAAATTTAAATGATTGGGTCTCTTCAAATAATTGGAGTAACGAAAAAATAAAATTAATTAAATACTTTGTTGAGTTGTAAAAAAAAGGTAAATTAATAATTAATCTTTTATTTTATGTAAGAACTAATTAAGATTAATTATTTCAAATGATCAGTTTGCGTTTTTAAACATTATCATTTTTATTGATCTGTAACTACACTTATTTTTTACGTTTCTTGGGTATGCCCCTCGTAGCTTGTATTGTTTTAGTTTTTGAATAAATTTTTCCAGGGTTCCGTCCCCTTTACCAAAAAGAAACTGCTATTCAAAGATGGTAGTTTGAATTTAATGAATCTCAAATTTTATAGGTTCTAACTTAATTAAACTTTTATATCAGTGTTTAAAAAGGCGCGTCATGGCGTGACATGATGCAAAACTCGTCTCTGTCATTACAAAATAGTTCATAACATTACTGTAAAGCGTGACTCACACCATGGCGTCTTGAGGCACGCCATTCACGTCGTGGTGCCCGTTTTTGTAACACGTGATTTTTTTTCCAAAAAAATATTTTATTTATTTTTCATCTTTTGTGGTTTTACACTTTTAACTTTAGATTTTACATTTTTATAGATCTAATTAATAAAATCACTCACAGTTTCACAAATTAATAAAACGTTATAGACTTACTCTTAAAATGAAGCTAAGTTCTATTTTAAATATTTAATCAAAACATATTTTTATAATAATAATCTATATGATTTTTCTTCTTCTAATATGAATGTACATTTTTTTAATATTATTATCTGATTAGATAATATATAATTTTATATATGACATACAAATTTATCGTTTTAGAGCACGCCTTGAAAAACGTCGCATTCTCGACGTAACATACTTTTCAAAAAAGTACATTTTATTACTTTTTGGGAGGTGCTTTTTTGCATCAACTTGGAAGAAGAAAAGATGATGATGATGATGATGCTGCAGGGTGTTGTGGGGCAGCATTTTTGACTTTTTTGAGATTTGTTAGAAGGGCAATTTTTGCATGTTTAAAAGAGATGATAGGTACCGTACATTTAAAAGTGGAGCTCACAAATTTACATATAGTTCGCAAAAAGCCATTTTATAAACGCCAAAGTCGCAAAAATATGATATTTTAATAATTAATTCTTACTGATGAGTTTAATTATAATTCATAATTTTATTAAAATATTAAATATTTAATCAAAAGGCTTCCTAAACTATTATAGTTTTGTAGTTTGAATTGGAGTAATAATAATCAAAACCGTCACCATCCACCTTATTTTTAGTTGACATTTTCTTCCTCAAGATGAGTTCGTATATAATCCATATATTACAACCCGATTAAGTCAAAAGATAACATACAAAAAAACCAAACTGATAAGAAATCATGTGGTTTAAAAAAATCATATTAGTATTTAATATTTCTATGAAACATAGACTATTTAATTTTAACAAGTAGAGCTTTCAAATGTAAATCAGATACAATTTATATTTGTGATTTTTAAATATTAATCTTGTTTTGCTTAAAAAGAAAAGGTTTTACCCATACATGCTTTCATTTTGTTGTCAAATAGAAACTATGGTAAAATTAATCAAAACATAAAAAGGCTTGTCTTAATCCATAATTGGTGTAAAAATTAATATATCAATCAAGGGGTATTTGTTTCGCATATGGAATTGAAATTCCTCAAATGAATTTGATCACACGCTTGCCTGGTAGGAATTGGAATGAATCTCGCAAAAGAATTATAATCTTCATCTTTGTTGGGGGGGAGGTGGAGATGGCAACTGTAACGACGACATTAGTGGTATGGTGACATTGGTGGTGGGTTGGATGTGGGGTGGTAGTTGTGATGATGATAGTGGTGGGTGGGGTGATGATGACAATAGTGTTATATGGTGTTCAATGGTAGTTTGGGTGGGGTGGGAATAGTAATGTGATGGTGGGGGTGTTAGGGGTTTAGGTGTGATGGTGATAATAATAGCATGGTCGTTGTGGAGTCAGGGAGCATTGGTTAAATTTGCATAACGATAGAATCCAATTCTTTCATTTATGTCAAAAAAGTTGATAAATTCATTAATTTGTAAAATTTAAAAGATTTCCTCAATTTTAATATGTGAATCAAACAAATGAATTGGAATTTGGTCAAATGAATTGATCATTCAAAATCTTTTGAAATCCTTCGAGTTTTGCGAACCAAACAATACCTTCGTGTAACAAATCGTTAATTCTTCATATACCGTTTCAATTTTAGCTACTGAACAAGCTTTTAACCTACGTATACTACACGGTTGATTTTGATGTGACATTTTTTCATGTAAATGAGAATTACAAAATAATGACAACTAGACATTAATTTGTCCGGCCGCTTACTTTAGAATATATTGATTTTTTCCCTTTTTAGTTTTTTTCATTGTAAATTTATAGACATTTAAATTAATAAAATTACAATAAATTAAAAGTTATAAAACAATATTTACCATAATTAATAATGTATTAAATTAACGCCGTGTATAATATATTATATTTTATCAAATAAAAATGTAGGATCAACCAAAAGCCTAGATCAAACGGTCTAGATTGGACTTTTTCATATCGGACTAGCTATCAAGATCGTGCTAGCTATCAAGATCGTACTGTCAATCCGGATTTAGTCTTTATCGTGCAAGATCCAGGTCAGTCTAGACTTTTTTAAGACTGTTTTGATGGAACCGGACTTTTCTCGAATCAAACCGTGCATGTACAACTCTACCTTGAATTGGTCTTCAAGTCACCAAGTTGAATGATCAAATCGTCTGAACAACGGGTTTATATAATTTTAAACTAGATCTTTAAAAGTTATTTTGACGAATTTTTTTTATAGTAGAAGAAGGAATCAATGATCCAATTAACTATGTCTAGTTGGGTTTATACATTGGTAATTAACCTTTTTTCTATCCTTTTAATTGGCATTCACTCAAATTGGATCGATAATGAATTAACTATCGATTAATTAAATCAAATACTTAACAACCAACATTGACTAATCCCTTGATCATTTGTTTTTAATTAGATTCTATTCCTTCGTGGTTGTCTTTGTTCATGAACCTATTAACAAACATATCCGAAATCGTATCCATTGTAATATAATATAAGTTTTGAATCATGTGAAAATGTCTCATTTCGTAAGATCTTTAAGACTATCTTGAAGTCTTAGAAGGAGTTAGTTTTATCACGTCAAACTTTCAATTGGAACCAAACATTCAATTCACGTGAAAAAATAAATCTAAAATTCATATCAAATGTAGATTGGATTTGTTAAAAAGACTTGTAAGTTTGAGCCCAATAGGCTCGTTAGCAAGAAGAGATAAACTACTCAATAAAGCATATATATATAATACGAACAACTAAATCAAGCTCATTGATCTTAATTACCAAAAGACAACGAGAAAGTCAATCAATAGATATATATCATATACATATAAACTATCAACGGATTCACTATCATATCCTCTTCTATTATTTCAATAGGAGTTGTACACTTTGTATGTTTGTAAGTTGTGCAACATTGATTTTCAACAAGCCGGAATGTACAAGTTCTTAATTGGTGGACTGATCAATATGGTAGTTGGTATATATGGTGAAAAGGCGATTGTAGACTACCGTCATCAATTTTATAACGTTTAGAAAAAGTTTAGTTTGATCATACATTCTTTATTAGATGGTCAAATTTAGTTTGTCATCGTTTCTTCCAAATTTTTTCTCACGTTTTTGTAAAAGTTGGAGGTTTTCATAAAAACGATTGTCGTATTATTTAGGATACATAGAGGATACATTTACGAACGTCTCACTATCTTATATCATAATCTCGAGTGAGTTATACCAGGTGTTTTTGGTTTTTGTTTTGTTTAAATGTTCAAATTTAGATCATGAACATGGTCTCAATTGTACATATTACGTATTTGTTAAGAATTCATCATCATGGTATTAGTTTTATCCCTTCTTTTTACCCCAATACACATCTGCTTCTAATTTAATAAGTATCTAAAAAAATGGAATATACGAAACCAGTCCTTCTCAAAAACTCATGCAATTGCATCAACAATGATTTCTTAAGTCAACACCGCCATACATTTGCCGCAGTTGACTTTTCTAGGATGTGACATTTGACGGTCACCAACACGTCATAATTAAATATTAAAGTCAAGGGTCAGATTAGGGTTTCCTGTTGAGACAAAATATTGATTATATATATATTCATAAAAAATATTGAAGATAACTAATGAACGGTCAGACAAGTTGGCTTCCCCCTTGGATCTTTATATATGTCGCATTACCCTCACCAACACCCATCCGAAATACCCTCTTCAAATCATCTTTAATCCGATCGATCAATCTTTTTCCAAGCTAAGTGAATTCTTCGATTCTGCCACAAAGATCTCTCTTTCTTTCTTCTGGGTTCGTAGAAGTTGGTAACTTTGTTGGCAAGATGAGCCCTAGAAAGTTTCTTGATGGTGATCACAAACAACAACAGTTGAGAAGTGGAGTGGTGATCAATGGTCCACGACCGACGCCATTAAAGGTGAAACAAGAGTCTCATACCATTCACAAACAACACCACCACCAGCAGCAACAGATCAAAAGGCCGATCATAATCTACACTTATTCTCCAGAAGTAATCCACACCAAACCTCATGATTTCATGGCTCTTGTTCAGAAGCTCACGGGTCATTCTGGCTCCAAAGATCAAGAAAAACAAGAACAGAAAACCCTAAAGCAAGATCGCAGCTGTGATCGGAAAGATAACGATTCTAATTCCAATGATTCTGGAGTCACACATCAGAAAGATAAGATTATAAAAGACAAGAGTCCGATGTTTAATGCTCCTTCGAGTCCTTTCGTGGCTGATATCCCGCTCTTTACCCCAAATTCAAGTGATTACTTCTGTTCAACTCGACCTTTCTTTCAATTCTCCGATATGGTATCTTCGTCTCCAAACATGACTACTTCATTATCTCCTGGTTCTCTAGTTGAGCTGTTGAAAGGCCTTCCTGAATATTGATGGAAGCACTCAACTCAAATGATTCATTTATCATTAACATCCTTAATAATTTTATATACATATATATATATGTTCATAAACATTGATGTTATTTTTCGTTTTGAAGATCTCAGGATTTCAGAAACAGCCGTGATTAGGGTTAGATTGATCCATTTGTGAATGACAATATGTATTTAATTGTTTAATTTGTTCTTTGGTTTTCTGAAGGATTGTACGTAGATGAATAGATATGAATAAAGTCAATTAAAATTTGATATAACGTAATTGACCATCATATCTGTGAGTGTGAGCAGTAATTTGTTTACCCTACTAATTGACACATTAATTAAGTTGACAAACGTTATAATCAGTTGACAAACTGTGGATTGAATCTAAAGGTTAGGCTTGTTAACCAAGCTATTACGAGAAGTTATTTAAAAAGGCATATTTTTATGGTTAGTTTTATTACCTAAATTTTGTTTATGGGTAATTGCATCGAGACCAACTTATATTTGCACACCGTCTAGCCATGCTGACGATCACAAATGACTTACGGTTATCATAAGTGAACTTCTATGGTCATATTATCGACGTTTAAATTTAAACCCAAAAAAATGAAATTTCCTAAAGACTTACCTATCATGCTACAAGCAAAGTGGTTTTTTATTTAATTTTTCCCCCTATTAGTGCTTTTTTTGTTACTAATATTTGTAAATTAGATTTGGGTTTACAATTTTTTTTAATAATTCTAATATAAAAACATTTTATATACATCAACTAATAACATATATTGTTATTAAAGTACAAGTTGGGTTTCTTAATGAAATATATTTTTTAAAGGAAATATTGACCTAATTAGTTTGTCATTTTGGACCAACATCTTTGCTTTTTAGCAAATTAATTTTGTATGTTCGAATCAAAATAGCTAAGACTTTGCAAATAGATATTTCGCATGCAACTTGCTAAATGTATTTTTTATAAGTAAAATATGATTTTGAGGGGCCATTTTGCAAGCCATTAAATAGATTACACAAGCTAAAAGAACATTTAGCAAACCGTCATGCTAATTTCGCAAGCTAACCTCACCATATAATCATATTAAAATTAAAATGAATGAACGAATTAACTAGTTAATCTGGTGAAACGTGTGTGTGTGTGCAGGGGCGGAACACAAACTTTCCAACCGTAGGGGCCGGACCTAATATATTATATATTTTAAAGGTACCAAAAATACACTGTCCATATTCAAACAAGGAAAACATTCAAGGTGGTTACAAAAAACATGGTTTAGTAAAACCAGACAAATGTAACCCACTTGGGGGAATACAACAGGAAGTGAATACCTTTTCACCTTTGCCTTGTCGAACTAGACTTGAGGAAGAGAACTAAACAAATTTGAGGAAAAGAACTAAAGTCCTAGTTCAGATTCTTGTGAGTTAAAAGAGGCTACAAAGAAGGAATTGTTCCAAAAATGGCCAGGTCATCTAGATGAAACCACAACTTCTGGTCGTTTGAAGTTCGATTCATGGAAGTGGCCTAAAAATAAAAGGATATTGCGAAATATGAGACAAAATGCAAAATTGTCAAAAACCTTTTATGTCCTATCTTCAGTACTTGGAAGTGCCAATGGGAACTCAGTTATGCGTCCCAGTGAGACTGAAGGGAGCTTCAGAGAAGCTTTTTTGATGTCGAGTGTAAAGAGGAAAGTTCGTTCCAGTTCCAAAGCTAATTGATGAGGGCTGGATACCATCTTTAGGTGGTGCAGAGAAGATGAAAAATTTATTATCCAAAAGGAGCCGGGAATCTACAATGGTGAGTAGTGTAGGAAACAGGAAGCAACTGTGCAAGAAAAACTCGACAAGTTCCTCCCTCCAAAACGAGACTGCTAGATTGGGATTTGCAGAATCTCTTCCTGATTTTAGTGAATTTCAGCCAATTTCAAATACCAACCAAAGGCATCTCTAAATAACCAATTTCAGCCACATTACCACATATCACATATGACATAACCATTAAATCACCACATAATCAGTAAATCACCATATAAGATATAACCAATTTCAATAAACTTAGACCTAATAATCACCTAAATCAGTAAATCACCACTTCTGGGTTTTGATTTCAAAATAGAAAGTGCATTTAGAGGCTAGAGTATACAACAAAGTAAGGAACTCAGAACAGCAGAAGTGAGAGAACAGAGAAGGACGGACTTACCGGGAGGCTGGAGTTACCGTGGCCGGCTGGCCGTCGACCGCCGAGGCCCGAGTGCTGCCTCCGACTCCGCCTGCGTCTACGCTGGTTGCTGCGCAGCCTGCGCTCTCGCCGTCTCGCGTCTCGCCTACGCCTAGTCTGCCGTCTGCTGTCTACGCTGGTCAGTGCCGTCACGCCGTGGTCACCCTCCTCGACTCCTCGTCGGCTCGCCCTCACACAGGCTGCTCTCGCTCCGTCKCTCGCCTCTCGGGATTGAAGGGGGAGGCCGGTTGAATTTTTTGGGGTTCTACAACCTAATGGATTATACTATGGAGGGTTAATTGGGAAAAAAATCACAGGGGCCAGGGCCCCTATAGGCCCCTTAGGCGGTCCGCCCCTGT